CGTATGAGAGAAGTATCTGGGAGTGAGATATGCCCTTCACCGTATAGGACTCTGTGGTGTACTGATATGACCTACTGATACGACACCGAGATAATAAGTGGCTAAACATTTGAGAAACTTTTTCATACAACTAAAAATGGAAATTTCATTGGTAGCCATCTTGAAATCCAATATGGCGGCCTCCCAACATAATTTCCTGATGATTGCATGATACTCTCTGATATTGAAAACATGGTTAAAGGTGTGATTGACTGTGTTACATTACTGTAGATATGAAGATAATGACAAAAATAACAATATTTTGGCAGCCATCTTGAAATCAAATATGGCGGCATAATCTGACATAATTTTTGATGATTGCATAATACTCCCTGATATTGAAAACATAGGTAAAGACCTTTGAATGACAGTGCTGGGTGCTGTAGATTTGAAGATTATTGATAAAAATCCAATATTTTGGCGGCCATTTTGAATTTCAAGATGGCGGCCACTAAGCGGCTTATTTTTTGAGGGTCTATTTTTTTTTATGATCCTTAGGTGTCATAGTACTGTATCACTGTGGGAAGTTTCATGCTTTCTTCCAAAAGTGCACAATTTTTCTCCTTAGCTGCTCTATTATATGTATTTCATATTACCCTTGAAAAATTGTATTAGGTTTGTAGAATAATATAGTAAATAATACTCTAAAACAAAAAGCGAAGATGTTGTGACAATTGTGTGTGTTACTCCATTGGTTTGTTATTATGAGCATGTCTTAATCTATACTCCGTATTACATATTTTCTAATTAAAATCAAGATTTGCAGTCCATAAATATGAATGCTTCTCATTTCTGACCAAATAATATGCTTAAGTACATAAATTTTAATTACCCAACAGAAACCAATGGTGCTCCTCCAGTTGATTTTTCACTTAAAATACTATCTCTAGGCAGTTGACATTCAAACCTGTCTGTGACTTTATTCCTAAATGTTTCAGAATTATTAAGATTTAATTTATTTAACAACAATGAACATTTTTACCTTAATATTGTCTGTTTAGTTCAAGTTGAAATGTTGTATATATCGAAGCTGCTCTGAAGAAGTGGAATTTTGCTGGGTTCTGTCTTTATTTGACTTGACAATATGCTGGTTTCTTTGTGCACTTAAGCTTGACTGCGGACTTTATGGTGAATTATTCATCCAGAAATGTTAATTGTTACCAAGCTGCATATTAATTGATACTGCCGTCATCACCATGAAAATGTTTTCCTTCTCTATGGTCGATGCTGTATATATTGTGCTTAGGTGTCCAACTGTATCGATTTAGGATCTTCTTTCTTGCAGTTCAACATTATGTGTATACGTCCCCAGGAAATCTACCTGTTTGAGTGTGAAATTCAGGTCGCACTAATTAGGGCACTGATATACCTCCTATTGGGAAATAAACAGTAGTAAACCTATAAGCGTGTTGAAGTTTGTTGGCTTAATGACATTAATTAACTAATTGTACATTATGAGCTAGATGAATTACTCATTATCAACAATGGAACATGAGATATGTTGGCAACAATTTTTGGGGAGCACAGGTACAGATCATCATCTTCAGCTTTTTTACTTTAATGTTATTCATTTTTTTTTCTTTACTTCGCTCGTGGTGTTAATAATAAAAGAAATGTTGAATATATCATGATCATCATTGACACGTATCCATTATGACAAAAGTGACCATAATATTATTCTCAGTGAAAAATTTTGGTTGAATCCCTTTCCTAAAAATGTCATAACATATATTAATTACTTGTTCATTGTTCTGTAGTTCTGTAATTCAATCATTTAATTCTTGTATACTGTATATATATTTTACCAAATTTTGACCTTCTTGTATTCCATTGTATAAAAATACCTTTCTAAAATGTAATGTAGCTCACTTCTTTTAAAATGTCTTTATTTTTGCAGATATTGATGAATGTGACATGTCAAACACACACTGTGACCACCTGTGCACCAACACACCTGGCAGCTTTCAGTAAGTAAATTATAAGTACAAATATGAGAAGCTGTAAATATCCTTCTGATGGCGCATAAATGCTTATTTTATATAGCAGCACACGCCATGGCAACAAAAACATTTTGTAAATCTGTACATTTACGCATTCATGCAAAAAGTTTCATGGTCTGTTCCATCTGCTGCCTGCATGATTACTCAAAATGTTTTCTCTTCCAGCAGCCCCTCAACGCATTCTGTTGATGTTCTTCCCCAGTAATTTTTTCTAACATGTTTGGGATAAATAAGTCTTATGTGTTGTAATTCCCCATTATAGTGAAATTAAGGGGCATTTATTTGAGTATATATATGCCCATTATACACCAAAAAATTAAACGCCTCCCTCGAATAAATGCCCACTAAAAAACACCCTGGGGTGTTTATTTGAATAAATACAGTAATACACATGAAGATAACATTTTGGGGCAACTGGCCAGTGAGAGTTCATAGCTATTATACCACAGAGTTACATCACCCATAGAGGGAGCTTTTTATCCATCGGTTTTTGTGGTTTTCTACCCAATAGAATTGATACTTGGATATTTGGGTGTTTTAATCACTTTCTTAAATGCCTAAAAAAAAACTCTTAGAAACAATTTTTTTTTTCTTTATAGCTGCGCTTGTAATGAAGGTTATGTTGTTGATGAGAATGATGCCACCAAGTGTCAGGATATTGATGAATGTTTGCTGGTAAAATTTCTCACTTTGAAATAAAATGTTTATGATTAGGGACTGCCAGACAGTGGTGGCAGCAGTGGCCCATTAGACAGGCCTGCTCCCCCGTTGTCTGATGCCATGATGAGATGGTCAGACCAAAATCAATAATTTGGCTATCCATGTAATGTTATTTTAATTCCCAATTCCATGGTCTTAAAGCACAATTTTGGACCATAAAGCTTTAAACCATCATGAACCTTACCAGGGCTTTTTATTCTGGGACCCTGGCCGAGGCACTAGTCTACCCATTGGTTTTGACCCCACTGTCAGTTGTTTTGGGCTCCCTGTTAGCAAATTTCTGGAGCCATCACTGCTGTCAGATATATATGGGAGGTAGGTAATGGTGGAGAGTGCAAAAGCGCTATACAGTAACTTCTGAAGTTCTCCTAAATGTGATTATCATCATCTTCTCTGTTATGGTCATAAAAAAATAAGAATATTTTGCTCTGCTTTTCACAATTTCTTTTCTTAGTTTTTATTTATTATTTTATTTTTGCTTTTTCTGTTTATGTAAAGTGCTCAGTGGCAATTTTCTTACCATATGCATTATATAAGACTTACATTAATACATATTACTATTATAATATTATTATATTATATATTTCTTATAGGAAAGTACTGATTGTCAACATGAATGTATTAATTTTGGTGGTGGCTTTAACTGCAGTTGTCGTGACAACTTTAAACTCATGGGTGATGGTCAAACATGTCAACGTAAGAATAAACTTCAATTATTTTCATGCAAACAAAAAGAAGATAATTTGACACAACCCTACCTGTTTGTGCATAACTAATTAATCCAATCCAATCACCTTAAAGAGCTCAATCACCAAGCTCATAGAAGCATTTTTGGGTGAAGTCCAACTATTATTTATTATTATTATTAAAGTAGCAGCAGGTACTGCAAGACTATTCTGAATTCAACACTATCCTTTAAGTTCAAGCTCAGTGGTCTAATGGGTAAGACACCAGGCCTAGTTATCTGGAGGTCATGGGTTCGATTCACTCCCGAATCACTATCAAGAATTTTTTTGCAAGGCTTTTGGAATGTACTTACTGTAGCATTCAGTACCATAACACATCAAGTATTGCAAAACATTATTCTCCTGACAAAAAATACCACCGCATAGCATAACTAATTAGCTGATTGGTAACTAATAAATGCACAATATAAATTGATTTGTGTATCAGAAACAAGACTGAAGCAAGCTGCATTTCACATTAACATTTTCCACCATTCTTTTAATAGCCTGCCCAACATGTGACGACTTTGAGAATTTGAAGAACACATTGGAAGATATGGGAAACTTTATAAAAAGTTTAGAAAAAGTTGTACTTGAGCAAAAGAAGAAGAGTAGACGACTAGAAGAGAGGGTAATTATTAAAATTTTTTTATAAGAAGTGTTATTATTATTATTATTATTATTAGTTTTAATTATGTTTCTGTGATGTTATTTTCATTATTTTTGTATTATTATTGTTTTATTTATTTGATAATATAGATTTTTATAAATGTTATTATGATCACCATTCATTATTATTATTGTCATGAAATAGCTCTATCTTTGATTCAGAAGTTCATGTTTTGCCATTGCACCCAAATCTTGGCTATTGTTTTATTTTACCGTGTTATTCTAGTTGCCTAATATTTGTCTAATATTGTTCTCGCCACATCTACCTTTACTATCCCCACATGATTTTCCCTATTTTTAAAATTTTATTTTAATTAAGAAATTAATATTACATTAATTACTTTTCAAATCTTTTTTGCAGATTAAAGAACTTGAAGATTGGAAGAGCGAAATAACAGAAAACAACGACCCCTCCGTTGACCTGCCTGAGGTCATTGACCGACCTAATATACAAAGATCAATAAAAGCTAGGAAAAGTGTGTCTTAGTAATGAATATGCAATTATGCAAATGATGCAATTATGTAAATAGTATTTACATACTGTCAGAATACAGTGTGTTAAGTAGATGTAAATTTGTTAATACTAATTGATATATAGATTTACATTCATGGTGACAAGTAATATAAAGTAATGTGTATAGTGTAATAGTACTGTCAGAGAAATTTAACTGTTCCCTGGTACTGTGTATAGTATTGTAGTATGGTGTATAGTGTTATAGTACTATGTATAGTGTTATAGTACTGTGTATAGTATTGTAATACATTGTATAGTGTTATAGTACTATGTATAGTGTTATAGTACTGTGTATAGTGTTGACCAAGCAGTACAGGGCTAGTAATATGCTAGTATTCGCGTGTTTATTTCCGTTTACACTATTGTTATGTGGGACCTAGCAATGACATCAAAGGGGCGGGGTTTAGTGGAAATTTCCATTAATCTGTTCCAAGTCCTAGGTCGTTTTGTCGAAAGATTTATCTCTGGTGATCCATGTGGAAAAGTCCCTTTCAGGAGATCTTAAATAATCTTGATAATAAAAACATAAATTAATTTGGGGGAGATGGGTTAGTTCCCGGGAAATTGTTTACATTCTTGCAGGGGTGCGAGATGTCATCTCTATTTCTGAGAGACTTGCACATCTTTACCATCTTCCAGTCCAGGAGTCCCAAGTCTCCCGGAACTTGCCAGAGTCTCCCAGAAATTGGGCTGGCCTCCCGCACTCCCACAAGCAACCAAGAATCTGCCAGAAATTAACCTATTTCCACAAATTCAAAATTGTGTATATTTTCACTGCTTTATTATCAATTTTATCACAGAAGTCAGTGCCAATGGGTATCAGGGTATCACTATGTGCGGCAATATTAGATTAAATGTGTTGGGGTGGTAAAGAAGAAAAATATAATAGTCTGAGAGAATCATTTCTGGACATCTAGGTGCTATAATCATTGATTATAAATTTTCTTACTTCAGCTCCAACCATGGTGGGGCTGAGGTGGTAGACCCTCCATTTGTGAAAGTCCCCCGCGACTGCAGATCTCCCTGAAATGACTTCTTTTCAACTTGGGACCCCTAATCTTCCGTATACTACATGTAATATTGAATCCCTTGTGAGGGCGGCAATACAGCAACCAACAAGCATGCCATTGGTTTGGTACACTGTATATACTGTGTGTAATGCAAACTATAAAATCCTTTGTATTTGTTTGGTCTTAAATAAGGGACTATTCCATTCTTTTGTTGTTTGTTTACCCATGTATCATAGAGAATAAACTACAGATGAACTTCATATATAAATATTGTAATATTTTCATTATGTATATTAATATTTTATAACTAATATATTGATATCCTATATTATACATTATAAGACTTGCTCCAAACATACTTTACTCAAAATTGAGGTCTAGTGCAGTATCCACACAGATACAGATGTCTGCTTTTTCCTATTTTTTTCTATTGTTCAGTGCAACCAGTGAGAAAAGTGAAGTAGAGTAGACCATGGAGGAAAGAAAATTAGATTTTCTTTCCTCCATGATTAGACCAAGTATTTTATTGGCTAAAAAAAGACTTACTTAGAAATGAGGAATATTTTGCTCACTGGTGCTCTTTGGGCTTTTCTGATTTTTATAAGATATGTTGACTTTAACCTAGGCTAATACATTTATATCTATACCTTGGACAATGTTGTCTTGGTATGAAAATAAAAAGATGATGTTTTTTTTTAAAGACTATGAGCATTGTGTTTAGTTTAGTGAATTTGTTTAAAACAACTATATTCCATAAAAAATAATATTTTTGGCAAAGTTTGATTTTAGTAAAGATTTATGATCAAGGTTGATAATAAGCTATGTATAATTTAATATATTTATACTGTAGTATGGTCTACTTTAAAAAAATGCAGACGAAAGATGAATGTTTAATACAAGGAGGTACTTATAAAGTTTGGTGGAGATTTTACAGTATCTTAACCAAATTTTTTACTGATTAATTTTATTTATTTAATAAAAAAGATTGAATGTAAAAAAACTTTTCAAAATTATGATAATTATTGTATTGATTGGCGTAATGTTTATTTTTTATAGTAAAAAATCTTAGTATTTATTATTAAGTTATTGTGATCATAGTTGTTTATCTTTTTAGTATGTATATGTTTAGTTTCAATGTATGTGATAGTGGACTGTATTTGTTTATTAAACTTATGGTACTATATTTATTGTTTAATTTGTCTTTGTGGCAGATATAGTGCAGAATTAAACAGGCACATTGGTACCAAGAAAAATACAAAAATGAAATATTTTGACAATTTTGTTAATTTAAAAACAATCAAAAATACATCAATAGGATTTTTCAATTTAAAGTCTACAGATATGGGGAAAGGATTATGATGGTATGACGATAATGGTGTTGATGATGATAATGACATTCGTGGTGCTAGGATCTCCCCGACACCAGGGCAATTCCCCTGAAAGGCATGGCAAGCTTTCTATTTTAGTGCTTAGCGCCATCCGAGGGCGGTAGGCCCGTGCCAGGTACGCTCATACGGGATATCTTGACCTAAGGATGGTGTTTCTTTGTATTGTTTCTCATCAGCGTCCAAACGATTAATTTATGTAGGCCTATCAAATTCAGGCCAACAATTAAAATGAACATTTTAAAATATTTTTTTTTATCCCTGTCGAATCTCTACTAAATTTCCCAACTGGGGGCCCCCCGTGAGCTGTAGCACCTCCTAGCGCCGCCACTGGATGATGACGATGATTATGATGATTGATTATGAATGGAATTGATGATGATAAAATCACTCTTAGTATTTTTTATTATTTCTAAATAAACAGTAGGCCAGTGTCATTCATAGCATACAATAATGATTAAAAATTTACATTTCCTAGAAATTTTTTTTTATATTATTATTTTAATAAATATAAATAAACTTATGCTTTGGCACTGAAAGTGTTATTCAGTATAAAGAGATAAATACAAGAAATAGATATACAAAAAGAAAATATATTCACTATATACAATTTATTTAAAATTGAGATTTCATTGTTGTTTATTTATTTATTATTTTATTAATATTTTAAATAATACTTAAATACAGTAAACAGCTGTAAAAATTGTTTTGTTAGAAATTGTAGTTATTAATACATAAATATAGGTTAAAAAATAAAAATAAAAAAAATGGAAAAAATTAAATAAAAATTTTAAATTAATCATTTTTGCAAGAACAGGAAAAGCCTACAGCACCCGGTATTCCCAAGCGGTCAAGTACTAACCGGGCCCGACGTTGCTTAACTTCGGTGATCGGACGAGAACCGGTGTTTTCAACGTAGTATGGCCGTAGACAATAACTATGTTTTTCAACAAATCCATAATCATTAACGTTGGTGGCGCTGTTGCAATACGATTTCTGAGTTTCTTTGGTTTGTTTTTGAATTGCAAAGCACGTGTTTCTGAACTTTGAACTTTTCAAAACAACTTTTGACAGTTTACATGATTACCTACTCTGAGGTTACTGGTACTGGTTCGGGCATTTAAAATGCGCCTCTTTCAGAAGAAAAAAAAAAAAAACAGAAAAAAAAGTGAGTTTAATTACTACTGCACTTCGTGAAGATACAGTAGGCCTACGTTAGTATAATCAGGGAGATGTAAAAATAAATTTTTACATCGCCTGGTAGAATAATGGCTTTTAAAACCAACATTAGCATTACCTTCTTGTTTATTTAGCCTACCTAGCTAAACGAATGGCCTACCTAGGCTACAGTGTAGGTACCTAGGCCAAGGCCTAATCCAGTAGGCAAAGCTAAATTTGCCTGCACCTGAGTTTGCCGAAAATTAGGCTTAGGCATGACCTAATCTTACTATAAATATCAATGTATTTTAATGCCTATAGCCTACTACTAGGCCTTAGGCTTAATATAGCCTAGTAGTAGAGTCTAGGCCTATCTATCTCCTTGGTCTTGGTATATGTAGAGTAGGTGGTTTATACGATTCTTTGCACCTATTTTTCCTAGCGATTTTACATAAAAATTTGAGCTCTCCTCTATATTATATAGTTTTTGAGGTATCAACGTTACATGTAATTAAAAATTGAAAATACTTACAGTAAGGTGTGCCACCATCTACTAGGCCTAATTGACACTGCTCCCTTTTTTTGTTTTTTTTTAAATCTTGGTTCTAAAAACACCTTGATATGTCTTAAGAAAGAATTGTACGTGTAATTTCCAAGCAGTTTTAAGTTGACCTTTAGAAATTTTGGTACCACACTACTTTTCATTCCGATGTGGTAATGGCTCCTGTGTATATGATTTTTAAGACATTTGCTGCCAGTGCGACGACGAGTACACTCGTCCCAAAGGGTGTTGCTTAGGGTGCTAAGGACAAATACTCGTCAAACCGGGTAGCATTCTAGCGTTAATTATTACTTCATTGTTAAAACCATGTCAGGCTTGACGACTAATAGTTCTCTGAAAATACGCCTAAAAGTTGACGATAACATACAAATAGCAATGTTTGATGTGTTATTTTGCCGGCAGTACAAAATATTGCACAAGAAAATTCGAACTTGGCAGCAGAGGCAATAGAGCAGGGGTGGGCATAAAAATCGGTCGGAAGACCAAAGTGAATTTTCGATTTAACACCGAGGGCCGCACCCAGACTTTGATGTTTCCAGTGACATTCCAAAAACCTCCAAGCACTGCTTTTACACCACTTTATTGTTAGTTTTAATGTTACTTTTTACATATGATCGGTGTCGGGCTGTAAAAAACAAGGTGTTTTCTAGTCAATGTTACTTTGGTGGGGTACACACCTAGGGTTTTTAATTCATTTTCATGGGCTGAAAAAAAAAATCGCTGGCAGTCAATGTGTTAAGAAAATTGCTACAAAGACCGATATTTGGTCTCCCCCTCCCCTCCAAATCTCTCAGCAGAAGTATTATTAAAAATTTGGTAGCATAGTTTTTTAGAATGTTATATGCCCCCAAAAATTCCAGAAGCATTGAACAAAAATAAATTTTGGCTTTTTCGGAGGGCTTCATCTATCAATGTATGATGGGTCCCGAACATAGTTGCACGGCCATTGACTCTAAAATACCCCTTACTATTTGACCTTGTGGACATTTAATATTAAATTAGGAAATTTATACCAGTTACACATACATCATCATTCTGTGTAGGAAGTTCAATGTTGCTTTTCAATTCCTTACCGTACCTTTTTACCCATTTACCATACCTTAGCAAAGTAGAAATATGGTACTGTATCTCTAGCCACAGCCATGCATTTTTTTCAATTTTTGTTTTAACATTTTCTTTATAAATTAAGTTTTACAGACATAGGTAAGCTTAGATCTGAGAAAATGTTTTTAAAAAAGGTAATAAGGCCAAGTAAAAAAAAATAATTGGTTAGCATCCTTTTGGTATCAAATTTCATGGTAGGGAGGGAGGTTTTTTTTTTTTTTTTTTTTTCTCGTAGAACATAAAAAACCTGCGTCCGAAGGAAAATTAACAAAACAAAGAAGAGGAAAACAACAGACGCCAAAATTGGATACAAGAAATCATGTAATTCATCTATATCAAGCAGATAAGCTTTGCCTATATGAATAACAGTCATATTGAAATCCCTATATATGAAGTTTTAAAACATGCAACATTGTATATGATGGAAATACCAACGCGCTGATTGGCCGACTTGGCTTTTCTGCACAAAGCATGAGACGTAAGCATCGGATCGGAGTTTAGTTTGCTAATATAAACCTAATCCCGAGTAAATCTTAATGCTTTGCATCGGCTGTACCATGTATAAATACACTCTTTTTATACTACTACTATAAAACTAGGCCTTTTCTAGATAGAAGCAAGGACTTGGCCTAGACGGGACGATGATGGAATGGAACTGCAGGGATAAGCCCAGTCGGCTGGCGTTCGGATGGATGGTAAACAAGCCTAGGCCTATATAAATTGCCTTCGGGAGATGGAGTTTTTGAGTGTTTTGTAAAAAAAAAAAAAAAAAATTCAGGTCGGGGGCTTTTCCGACAGTCGGGCGGGGATGCTAACCAATTGTTTTATTTTACTTGGCCTAACTTAAAAACTATGTTTATCCTTTGTCATAATCTTTACTTTAAAGATAGCTAAAATGATTGAACATGGCTTAATGTCAATATCAATTTATTTATAGCTCCTCCATTATTAGCAAATTTATTCACAAACACCAATGAAACGTTTAAACTTTCTGATTCTGATTGTAAATGTCCACATTTTTTTTGAATATCATACATAATAATAGGCACATAATTTGTGTAAATATAACATATATAATTTCATTTATTTCACCAAAGAACGAACATAAAGATACAAAAACACAAAACTACTCGACAACAGCACCTGGTAGTGTTGCTTAAAAGAGGGCAATGCCCATCCGTCATGAGCTCTCGAGTACCAACTGAGTAACAGATGCAACATAAATATTAAAATTATTATATGCAGGGCACTGAAAAACCATATATACAATATTATTTCAATTAAAATCATTATCATAAAAAGTTATGCTTATTTCAATTAAGACTAGAATAAAATAAAATTTATTGGAAGCACAGCTTCACCCTTTCACTGTTCAGTAAGAAAAGGTTAAGAATGTTTAAAATATAGACAGATAATCCTCATATAGTAGAAATATTAATGACACTACAGAGTTTTGAAATTCACAAGCAGTAGATACCTTATTATATAGTTTACTTGGTTAATTTTTTTTAATGTTCTCATTTGTGGCAAAGACAAGCCAAACCAATCACTCGTCACAAAAAATTTTAGTTATTAATGAGAGCTATACAATAGTAAAAGAATCCTTTAAATCCAACATTCCATAAAGAAGTTACAAGCATTTAAACATACAGCTGTTTAAAGAACAATATTTGAGAAATCAGCCTTCAAAGTTTATGATTTGGGGTATTTTTCAGGCAGAAACCATCACCAAATTGTTACAATAATGATACAGATTTTTGAATATTTTATAAACTGGGGAAAAGGGGCGTAACCGCCCATTTTTACACCTTTTTCCCCCAGTTTTTAAATATCAAAATATCTGTATCTCATTCACCGTTGCTCAGTTTTTGATCAAACTACTTTTTTCTGTCTTAGAAAAATCAGTTCTACAAAATATCAAAAAATTTTTTCCCTCCGGAGCCTGACTTTAAAATATATTTTTAAAAATTTCACATTCAAGCATGTTTTGGTCACTATCTCTGAAACAGGATTTGCGACGAGTGACTGGTTTGGCTTGTCTTTGCTATATTTACAATGTTAAAACATCTGAAAACCATTCAGTGGTTATTTTCTTGCCATTTTATAGTGTCTGCCCTTGACTTTAATGATCCTGTTAAAAATCTTGTTTATTAATAACTTAAGTTTCAAAAATGATTTGATGGTTAAAAGGAATATCAGAAATAATTACAATTTTTTTGCCATTGGTAAGACCATTATAGTATTTTAACAAAAATATATTTAATTAAGGTAAATAATTATGTTTATAGAATGATTTACTATAATATTGTAAACTTTTAATAAATATTATATTAAATTTAAAATAAATAATCCTGCAACAAGGTTATTTAAAACATTGCACCAAAGTCTAATATTGTATTATACTAAATGAAAAATTTATTTAGTACCATGAACAAAATCTCTAGTACTATGCAGTGTTATATAT